TAAACTATGACAATATATTTTGAAGGCACTTATACGTTTTGTCTCTGGCTTCTAGACATAATTATAATTGGAGGTATTTTCTTTTGTCCTTTGAGAAGCCCGCTTGAAATGCTTTCTAGGAACAAGTCTATAGTAAGCCCTACTATCAGTCTTTAGACAATCAGCATGTCATTGCACCCATTTTAATTGCATCTGCCAACAGAATTTTATAGCAGGAAAGAATATGGAAATAATATGCAATGCACGACAGGTGCTCACCTGTTTTGTATCTGTTGAATAAGCAAGAACACCATGGATCACAGCAGTGAGCATTATGTAGGCACACCCCTGCACCAACATGCAGCCCCCTGAAGTGACTGGGAGTCTTTGCAGAGGTCTGCACGTCCAGAATTACTGCAGAATCGGGACCCCAGTGAATTTCCTGTGTGTTGTTCAGGGACTTGCTTTGCAGTCTTGATACTGCAGAGCACTTAATTCTCTCAGGTGCAGGATGATATCTGTATTCCTGCTTTGAAGATCCCCTACTTATCAACCCTTATGACTTTCTATTGCATGCAATCAAGAGATAAAGGTCCAGTGAGCCTGATGAAAGAATCAGATGTTCCCACCACACTGCAGGGACTCATTAGCAACCAACCTGCAGCTTGCCAAGGAGAGCAAAAGCATTTATTTTTAGATGCTGGTTGAAAATTTAACAGCTCAGGGAGGTTCTGTGCTCACCCTAACTACTACAACTTTCCAACGAGAGTTATATGATGCCTCCCTTTAGGCCAACGTGTTTTTATGAAGTTGCTGCAAATCCTTAGTGAGCTGTACTACTGAACCTGGAAAATTCCAACAGATGCGAAGCTGTGATCTTGCTGAATCATCCTTGAAAGCCTCCAGCTCTACATAATATATGACCAGGTCCTTTGGTAACAAGAACCACATAAATGTTATATCAGCTCTTCAAAAACGGGCCTTATGCATCTCTGAGGCTCTCTCTACACGTTATATTTATAGCGCAATTGCCTGGTTCATGACGCAATAAATTTAGACCGCCTACATGTGCCAATTTAGCTACCCCACCTTAAAAAGGTTCAACCAGCTATAACGTAATTGCTTGAAAATATGTAATAACTTTATAGCTGGTTTCTATACAGCTTTAATTTGCATGTGTGGGCAGTCTGTGGAGAGATGGCAGCTACTATGATCTCCCAAGTGCTGGGGAGCACAATGCATGCCCTGGGCTGCGAGATTGCAGCCAATGTAGTCTCCCAGCCACAATGGTATGGGGATGCTTCATGCACGCCCGCAGCTAGAAGCACCCCATGGTTGCAGGGGCCAAGAGTCCCATAGCTGACGGGGCTCTTGGTCCTGGCTGCAAAGGAGCACAGCCAGGACCAAGAACCCCCACTGCTGATGGGGCTCTTGGTCCTGGATGCACCTCGTGGGCAGCCCGGACCAAGAGTCCTGTACCTAATGGGGCACTCGGTCCCAACTGTGCACGTGGTGCAGCCAGCACTGAGAACCCAGTCAGCTGCGGGACTCTTGGTCCCAGCGGCCCATGGCCTCTGCGGCTGGGAGCCTGCTTCTTGCCGATGCAGGGGAAGCCCAGAATTGGGCTCCTACTATATGAGCAATAAGGTGCGACTGGACCCCACAGTCATGCCTCCTGCCATGCACATGTGGCAAGGCAGGAGGCACAACGGCATGGATCACACATTAGATGCAATCATGCCTTTCTTTACCTGCACGTATAGAGGGGGCCTAAGAAACAAATGCAGCATTTTGCACTAGAAAACCACAGAATTAAAATAAATAGCCTACTGATTCACAACTGAGACCCCAATCCTACAATAAGCCCCATGAAAGAGACGTCTTGCTCAAAACGCACCTGCCAGTGACAGTTCGCTATACATGCCTAAACTCACTCTTGGCAGGGAAGGGGAAGAACAGTAAAGTGAAAGACAAAGATGAAAGGACAAAGATGGGACCACGGAGAGGGAGACATGGTCACAGCACAAAAGACTAGAAGTTTTAGTCCACTACTCTGTCTAGAGATGAGAATTAATATAATGGAAAGGGATTCTGCCCTAGTGTATACATTTAAAAACATTTTTTTCCGGAAAAAGTAAAATTCGACACATGGCAACAAAAGGAAAAATGATAAAAGGAGAGAAGAAAAGGAGAGAAAGAAAAAGGAAAGATAAAAGCAAAGTATGGAGTAACAACTTGTGTTAGTCAAAATTTCTTTTGTGCATAAGTCTGCATTTGATGCTGCTTTTGGGAAAGCATAGTACCCCCAAAAGTGGGGTAGGGGAAGCAGCAGCACAAATTGTAGCTTATCCTTCCTGAAGGACATAACCAGAGTATCTGTTGATGTACAAAAAGAATTAGATGCAGTCACCAGCAAATTTAGAAGCCCTAGTATTAATATTGTTTGGATAACCATCCAAAAGGACTGCAGCTGTGTGTTACGCAGCACCCTGAGAAACTGTTTTTTCAAAAAACAGAGATGGCAAATAATCCTTTCCAACAGCATTAGAGAACAAAAGCTTCCCTGGCATGCGGACACAGTACAGGTTTTTCTTTGATCAAATGCCAGAGCCAGTGGAAAACCATCACAATTGCAGGAGTTTAAATCACAAGCAAAAAAAAAAAAAAAATCCCACAAACATGAAGATCCAGAGGGGTTTTTTGATCGTTTGTTTTTTAATGTAGTAAGTTAAATTCAGTTCTCTAAACGTTACTGGAACATCTTTAGTTTGAATTCTATTGCAAATCTTATCAAAAAATATTTTCAAGTAAAATCTATTATTTATTTATCATTTATAAAGCTAATCTTCAATGTTTCTCACAGATTTCATACATTTCTAGGATCGGAAGGGACCTGGCAGATTACTGGGTCTGACCTCCTGCTCCGGGCAGGAAAGGCCCCCGCTCCTGGCAGAAAAGAGTCCTGAGGTTAGGTAACCCCAGCCAGATGCCTGTCCAATCTCTTCTTGAACACCTCCAAGGTAGGGGAAAGCACCACCTCCCTTGGGAGCCCATTCCATATTTTGGCAACCCTCACTGTAAAGAATTTCTTCCTTATGTCCAATCTAAATCTATTCACCTTCAGTTTGTGGCCATGTTCTTTTACGTAGCATGTTTTGAGAATAGCTAGATCGGTAATCATGGAGAAACTCCCTTCATAGTTTGTTAAATGCATTCAGTGAGATGTCAAAGGAATGCTAGTATTGCCAGGAATTATTTCATTGCTTCCCTTCCAGCCACCACTCTCACCCATTTCAATAATTTTAATTTCATTTCTGCAAGAATGCCATAAACACCCACTGTGCGAGAGGCAAGCAGTTTTTGTGACATCTTTTATTGGCCCAACTGTATCGTTGGGAGAGAGGTTGAACAAGCTTTTGGATAGACCTGAGGAAGGGCATTATGTGCCCAAAAGTTTGTCCAGTTTCTTTCCCAAACATAACAGTTGGTCTAATAAAAGATACCACAAAGAACCTCTTGAATCTCAGACATTTCTTGGATCACCATAATTACAACACTTCACACGCACTATTAACTCCCACTGGCTTTACTAGGAATGGTTGAGCTTAACAAGACGGGCCTAATGTTTGGATTTTAAAATTGCCATGCACTTACATCCCAAAGTGCAGTCGCCTGGGTATTTCAGAATTAGCAAAGTGAAACTAACTGTGGCAAGTGGGAACAGAATGGTACTGACTATCCCAGTCTCCTCAAATGAGAAATTAAAAAAGGTTAGATTTAATAACTGTCAGTGTAAAAGTATTAAAATATACGTTAATAAAGTAAGGTATTATTACTAACACAGGTCAGGAACTTATAAGTATACATTTAGCCAGGAAATAGTCCTTTTAATGAAAAAGTAGCTAGACAATCTCCAATGCTAGATTAATGACTGTGGGCTAAGATTCACTCTTACTCTTAATATTTTATAAAAAGTTACTGAATTATGTAGCCCTTCTGCCATCTAGTTATGGTACACTTGTGTTTAAAAAGCTGCTTGCTAGAAGATGAAACTCTCTGAAGTCCATGCGTTTAGTCATTAGTATTAAATATAAAAAGTCAAGATGAGGAAAAATCATATGGGCTTCGTACGATTCAAAGTAAAACATCTTTTAGAACCGTGGCTAATTGCATTTCACCTTTAAACCCAAATTATTTCAATAGAAGGGATTCTTTACTTCCTATCTTAAATAGACAGGTAAATAGGCACGTGAACGCTATGAAGCAGATGCCATGTTTCAGGTGGCTGCATTTAATACTACACAAAATGTTCTCTTGACAAAACTTGGTGACGTCTGAATTGCTCATGTAGGATTCTGAAATCCAAGAGAGGCCCAATTCTGCAAAAAATGTGCGTAAGCAATTTGGTCCTCAGTGGGAGACAAGTCTGTGAAGGATCAAGCCCTCACAAAGTAACGGATACATCAGAACAAATTAACGGTCCATCTGGCCTCCTATCTGTGACTAAAGTGAACGCGGGATGCCTTCAATTACCCTATCCAAATGCCATGATGCGTATAATGATGTATCCTGCAGAGAAATTTCTTAATAGCCCCAGCTAGTGGCAAGTTTCTGCTTTGAAGTATTATGCAGCTTTTATTATTTTTAGGACATTCAGATGCAAGTGAAATCACTATTCCTACAGATGGCTAATCTTTCCAACATGCATGCAGCAATAGAGAAGACCTGCTTTCAAATGCATTTCCCCTTTTCAAAATGTTTGCCTTTAAGACCGGATGCCTACTCTTGGAACATGCAAATCGTGATATGAAGGAGCATTTCTTACAGTGGTTCTTTGGCAATTCGGGCCAGAACGATTCTCTCTGATAATTATTTGTTCTCTCCTCCACAAAAAAAAAAGGCAATACATTCAGCAGTTCGTCTGCTGGTCAGTGCACTCCTCACTTCCCCCATCATACTGCTGTATAATTGGCACATAATAGCACAATCAAGATTACAACATACTGTTTACCAAGACTTACACATGCCTCACTCCTTTCCTCCCAGACTCAGATGCCTACAAATAACACTGCCGTCCTGTCTTGTTTTAACCAGATGGTAGCCAGCTGGTTTTCGAAAAACAGTTACCACCCCTTTCTCTATTTTTCTTCTGCAGGGACCCTCACTCAGTCTCTCATCTGCAAAATGGCCCCTGCAAAGGGGAATATCAGATGGAAGGAGGGAAAAAAAGGGGCCATCAGGGCACCTGTTCAGGGGCTCACTGGCAAAAAAAACAACACAAAGCAGGAGAAGGTCAGATAGGACTGCACCTTATAAACTAACCACGGTACATACAGATACGTCTATCAATCTACAGATGGCAGATCTTTCACTTGATATAGATATCTATATAGAGAGATCTCTCTATATACACAGATGTAGTTTAATAGCTACATAGATGGATATCTACATACACATATAGACATTGATATATGTATAGAGAGATAGATCTCTAGGTATACACATCGGTATCTATATAAACAGGTCTCTCTACAGATAGAGATAGAGATAAATAGCTATGGATATCTATATAGACAGACCTCTCACTCTCACTGTTGTGGTATTGGGCTGGACTCCTGCCTGCCATGTGGGAGACCTGGGTGTGATGCCTGGACCTGCACATCACTACAGCCATATGGACTCAGTCCTGTCCTGGGATGCTGCCTGAAGAGGGGACGGAGGGTGTGAGCAGCCTCCCCTCCTCCATCTTCCTGCCTAGGCAAAGGTGTCGACCGTCCGGGTGACCTCTCACGCACACGCCACGATCCAAAAAGATCAATGGCTGCCTACTGGATCTCCCTCTCTCTCTCTATTGACATAGCTATCCATACCTAACTATATAGATAGATCTCTTTAGATGCAGATATCACTCTACAGATCTCTCCAGACATAGACAGCTGTATCTGTCCATATAGACACACCGCAACCCCCACCCCAGATCTAGCTATACAGACCCTCCCCACCAGATCTATCCGTAGAAAACCCCTCCCACAGATCTACCCGTACAGACCCCTCCCCCCATCTCTCCATACAGACCCCCCCACACCTATGCGTAGAGACCCCTCCCCCCAGATCCATCTGTACACCCCCGATCTATCCATACAG